AACTGCTAGAATCCACTTCAAGACACTGGTACTTGCTTACCGTGCTGCGAATGGATCTGGCCCTTCCTACATCCAGGACATGGTTAAACCGTACACCCCAGCGCGTGCACTACGCTCTGCATCAGCCAAACGACTCGTTGCGCCCTCGCTGCGAGGGGGACCCAAGTTCCCATCGGCGAAAACACGTGGGTTTGCTATCCTGGCTCCAAGATGGTGGAATGAGCTCCCCATTGACATCAGGACGGCAGATAGCTTGCACATCTTCCGGCGCAAACTGAAAACTCATCTCTTTCGACTCCACTTCGAGCGTTAGAACGATTAACGAAGCACTTTTATACCAATAAAGGACTGGATTACCTAAAGCCAGTTGAGTAGCACTTGAAATGTTTGGCTCTATGAAACCTGATATACTTATATGATTCTGTTTTCTTCAAGGTTGTGTCTTCCTGGTCGAATGTACTTATTGTAAGTCGCTTTGGACAAAAGCGTCAGCTAAATGCAATGTAATGTAATGTAATGTAGAGGTGAGTCAGAAAAAGAAGAGCGAATATCATCAACCTTTTTTTCAAAGTGGGTAACAAAGTCGCTTGACAGAAGTGAGGAGGGGGGAGGAGCTTTTGGAGGGTCCAAGAGGGTGGAGAAGATGGAAAATATTTTTTTAGGATTGGAATAGGAAGATTGGATCTTATCTTGAAAGAAAGTGCTTTTTGCCTGAGAGATCGAAGCAGAGAAAGAGGAGAGGAGAGCTTGATAGGTTAGGAGGTCGTCACGGTGTTTGGATTTCCACCATTTCCGCTCTGCTGCCCTAAGGACGGTTCTATTAGCACGCAGTGCATCATTTAGCCAGGGAGCAGGAGGGGACTGACGAGCCTGCCGAGATGTGAGAGGACAGAGAGAGTCCAGAGAGGATGAGAGAGTAGAGAGGAGAGTTTCTGCAGCAGAGTTTGGAGGCAGGAGTTGGAACGAGTCAGAGGAAGGGAGGGCTGAGAGCACCGACGAGGCAAAGGTAGAGGGGGAGAGGGAGCGAAGGTTACGGCAGACAAGTGTAGGATGGGAAGAGATTAGTTTGTTATGTTTGGAAAGGGATAGAGAGAATGAAATGAAGAAGTGATCGGATGTGTGGAGCGGGTTTACAGAGAAGTTAGAAGTAGCGCAGTTCCTTGAGAATATGAGATCAAGGACATTGCCAGCTTTATGAGTCGGTGGGGATGGAGACAGTGAGAAAGCAAAGGCGGTTAACAGAGATGTTAGTTCGTCTATCTTCCCCGTCTGGAGGTTGAAGTCTCCGAGAAGTACAGTGGGAGGGCCAGTTTCAGGGATGAGTGAGAGGAGATTATCTAATTCCTCCAAGAAGTCCCCCAAGGCGCCTGGTGGACGGTAGAGAACAACAATGGTTAACTGTATAGGATGGGTTACTGTGACGGCATGGAACTCAAAGGTGGAAGAAGTGAAGTTAGGTAGCTTGAAGAGGGAAAAGCTCCATTTGGGAGAGAGCAGGAGACCAGTGCCACCTCCTCTGCCAGAGGGTCTGGGTGTATGGGAGAAGGAATATGCAGTGGAGAGAGCTGCTGGGGTGGATGTGTTGGATGGAGTAATCCAGGTCTCAGTGAGAGCAAGGAAATCCAGAGACTGCAGGGAGGCGTAGCCAGAGATGAAGTCAGCCTTAGGAACAGCTGACTGGCAGTTCCACAGGCCACCTGAAACTAGATGTTGGATCTCAGTGGAGCACGTGGGATAGCCGAGAGCAGGCCGGTTATATCGATTACGAGATACACGGGGCCAGTGATAATTGCGAGAAGACACATGAACAGGAATGGAGAAAATACACATGATTATAGCATGAGGGGCTAAACAACAAAATAAAATGAAACAAAATAGAAAATAAAAACACCAGCGATACTTAGATCAATCAAAGTAGGATTTGCCTCCTCTTTGCCTCCCTCGTGACTCCTGTAGGATTCCAATGTCTTGCTCAGTCTTACTCCCGTAGGACTCCAATGTCTTTGTCAGTCTTACTCCTGTAGGACTCCAATGTCTTTGTCAGTCTTCGGCTGTCTGACGCTGAAGCTGACGCTCCAGGAAAGTGATACCTAAAATGGACGCCTGATTGCTCAGTTCTCACAGCTGTAGGGGCACGCCCCTCTAATTAGTTAACTATCTACAGCTGATGGGCGACAATAGACTGGCCCTGCCTATATTAATAATGCAGGCTTGAGTGCTGAGACCTGTGAAGCAGGTTTCGCCTGAGCAGATCTGAGATTTAAAATCTCTCAAAAGCGATTTAGCCGTTTAAGGTACAATAACAATTATACAGAGTCGAATAAATGAAACCGAGAAGTCTAATTAAACAAGAATATAACTTACAGTGGTTGCTGCGTCAATAGGTAATGTCGTCACCGGGTCCAGATGCACACAGTTACAGTCCAATAGGAACAGTTACTGTCGAATAGGAACAGTTACAGTCCAATAGGAACAGTTACAGTCCAATAGGAACAGTTACTTTCCAATAGGAACAGTGACAGTCCAATAGGAACAGTGACAGTCCAATAGGAACAGTGACAGTCCAATAGTAACAGTGACAGTCCAATAGGAACAGTTACAGTCCAATAGGAACAGTTATTGTCCAATAGGAACAGTTAGTCCAATAGGAACAGTGACAGTCCAATAGGAACAGTGACAGTCCAATAGGAACAGTGACAGTCCAATAGTAACAGTGACAGTCCAATAGGAACAGTTAGTCCAATAGGAACAGTTATAGTCCAATAGGAACAGTGACAGTCCAATAGGAACAGTGACAGTCCAATAGGAACAGTGACAGTCCAATAGTAACAGTGACAGTCCAATAGGAAAAGTTACAGTCCAATAGGAACAGTTATTGTCCAATAGGAACAGTTAGTCCAATAGGAACAGTTATAGTCCAATAGGAACAGTTTACAGTCCAATAGGAACAGTTACAGTCCAATAGGAACAGTTACTGTCCAATAGGAACAGTTATAGTCCAATAGGAACAGTTACAGTCCAATAGGAACAGTTACTGTCCAATAAGAACAGTTATCAATCAATCAATCAATCAATCAATGTTTATTTATATAGCCCAATATCACAAATGTTACATTTGTCTCAGTGGACTTTACAGTTTGTACAAAATATCAGTATGACAATACGACACCCTCTGTCCTTAGACCCTCACACCGTACAAGGAAAAACTTCCGAAGAAAACCCACAGTTTAAAGGGAAAAATGGGAGAAACCTCAGGGAGAGCAACAGAGGAGGGATCCCTCTCCCAGGACGGACAGACGTGCAATAGATGCCGTGTGTAAATTGAAAAGATAATACATTTGCAACATAGGTAGTCCAAATGTTTGGAAATGCATGTGTGTATAATAGGAAGATGAATCCACGAGGATATCCATCCAGGACCTATTAGTTACAGTCCAATAGGAACCGTTACAGTCCAATAGGAACAGTTACTGTCCAATAGGAACAGTTACTGTCCAATAGGAACAGTTACTGTCCAATAGGAACAGTTATAGTCCAATAGGAACAGTTACAGTCCAATAGGAACAGTTACAGTCCAATAGGAACAGTTACTGTCCAATGGGAACAGTTACTGTCCAATAGGAACAGTTATAGTCCAATAGGAACAGTTATGGCGCGTTTCCACTGCAGCGGGTAACCCCGTTTAAGCGTCCTTAACCGTCCTCAAGCGGCCAGGCCGGTTTTTGGTGGCGTTTCCATATAGCCTAGTACCGGCCAGCGGGTACTTTTTCCCTCTTTTTCCGGCCTCATAAAATCGTGGTTCCCTCAGACCAGGGCCAGGGCTGAACTAGTGACGTCAACACTCTCGACTGCTGATTGGTCAGAGAGAATCGTTACAAGATCGCGTGCAAGTTCATCCCTAGCGTCGCATATATATTTAGAAGCAAGCTTGCAGCATTTTTATAAACAGCATTTTGTAAACGGATGAGCTACAAAAATGGCTACGTCTAATAAGAAAAGCACACCGTGGTCGACCGAGGAGGTGACGACGTTCCTACATCTCATTGGGGATGATCAAATCCAGCGGGAGCTCGACGGAACAACTCGAAATGTGAACAAAAACAAAGCCGATCGCCCCGCCTACACTGCGTTGCTACCCCAGGTCCTAAACTGTAATGGAAATGCGCCACGGCCTGGGCCGGCCAGCGAGGCAGCTCGAGGCCAGAGCGAGGACGCTTAGGGACGCTTAAACGGGGCTACCCCGCTGCAGTGGAAACGCGCCATTACTGTCCAATAGGAACAGTTACAGTCCAATAGTAACAGTTATAGTCCGATAGGAACAGCTACAATCCAATAAGAACAGTTACTGTCCAATAGGAACAGTGACAGTCCAATAGGAACAGTTACAATCCAATAAGAACAGTTACTGTCCAATAAGAACAGTTACTGTCCAATAGTAACAGTTATAGTCCAATAGGAACAGTTACAGTCCAATAGGAACAGTTACAATCCAATAAGAACAGTTACAGTCCAATAGGAACAGTTACTGTCCAATAGGAACAGTTACAATCCAATAAGAACGGTTACAGTCCAATAGGAACAGTTACTGTCCAATAGGAACAGTTACAATCCAATAGGAACAGTTACTGTCCAATAGGAACAGTTACAGTCCAATAGGAACAGTTACAGTCCAATAGGAACAGTTACTGTCCAATAGGAACAGTTACAGTCCAATAGGAACAGTTACAGTCCAATAGGAACAGTTACAGTCCAATAGGAACAGTGACAGTCCAATAGGAACAGTTACAGTCCAATAGGAACAGTTACAGTCCAATAAGAACAGTTACAGTCCAATAGGAACAGTTACTGTCCAATAGGAACAGTTACAGTCCAATAGGAACAGTTACTGTCCAATAGGAACAGTTACTGTCCAATAGGAACAGTTACTGTCCAATAGGAACAGTTACAGTTTTTCTGATTGTGTGTCTCTGTGTGTCTCTGTGTGTCTCTGTGTGTTTCAGATGGAGGACGCTACGCAGGACCTGAGCGTCTCTCAGCTGTCTCTCAGTCACGGTGCAGATTACATGGAGGCGGTGCCCTGAACTCCCAGCATGCACCTGTACAGTTTGACGATGAAATAAATGAATGTGTTACGCAAGATGGTGAATGTGTCTTTGTTTTACAGACGAAGGATCTTCAGATATTCAAACGTTTATTTCTGACCTTTCTTCCATAAACTATTTGCTTAAGTTTAGTGTTAGGGTTAGATATCTTATTCTGATTCAATCTTTAATATCAGCGACTCATCCGTGAGAAGAGATGAGAGAGAAGCCCAGAGGACGCCATGGTGGACTAAAGAATACGACTGAAGCCCAGAGGACGCCATGTTGGACTAAAGACTACGACTGAAGCCCAGAGGACGCCATGGTGGACTAAAGACTACGACTGAAGCCCAGAGGACGCCATGTTGGACTAAAGACTACGACTGAAGCCCAGAGGACGCCATGTTGGACTAAAGAATACGACTGAAGCCCAGAGGACGCCATGTTGGACTAAAGACTACGACTGAAGCCCAGAGGACGCCATGTTGGACTAAAGAATACGACTGAAGCCCAGAGGACGCCATGTTGGACTAAAGACTACGACTGAAGCCCAGAGGACGCCATGTTGGACTAAAGACTACGACTGGTGGCTTAATTAATTGGACATCATTCCCAGTAATGCCCCATGGAGGGAGACGTCACGATGTTCCCAGTAATGCCCCATGGAGGGAGACGTCACGATGTTCCCATTAATGCCCCATGGAGGGAGACGTCACGATGTTCCCAGTAATGCCCCATGGAGGGAGACGTCACGATGTTCCCAGTAATGCCCCATGGAGGCAGACGTCACGATGTTCCCAGTAATGCCCCATGGAGGGAGACGTCACGATGTTCCCAGTAATACCCCCATGGAGGGAGACGTCACGATGTTCCCAGTAATGCCCCATGGAGGGAGACGTCACGATGTTCCCAGTAATGCCCCATGAAGGCAGACGTCACGATGTTCCCAGTAATGCCACATGGAGGGAGACGTCACGATGTTCCCAGTAATGCCCCATGGAGGGAGACGTCACGATGTTCCCAGTAAGGCCCCATGGAGGCAGACGTCACGATGTTCCCAGTAATGCCCCATGGAGGGAGACGTCACGATGTTCCCAGTAATGCCCCATGGAGGGAGACGTCACGATGTTCCCAGTAATGCCCCATGGAGACAGACGTCACGATGTTCCCAGTAATGCCCCATGGAGACAGACGTCACGATGTTCCCAGTAATGCCCCATGGAGGGAGACGTCACGATGTTCTCAGTAATGCCCCATGGAGGCAGACGTCACGATGTTCCCAGTAATGCCCCATGGAGGGAGACGTCACGATGTTCCCAGTAATGCCCCCATGGAGGGAGACGTCACGATGTTCCCAGTAATGCCCCATGGAGGGAGACGTCACGATGTTCCCAGTAATGCCCCATGGAGGGAGACGTCACGATGTTCCCAGTAATGCCCCCATGGAGGGAGACGTCACGATGTTCCCAGTAATGCCCCATGGAGGGAGACGTCACGATGTTCCCAGTAATGCCCCCATGGAGGGAGACGTCACGATGTTCCCTGTTGGACCTGTCTGCTGCATTCGACACGGTGAATCATCAGATCCTCCTTCGCACTCTCCAAAAACTTGGAGTTTCTGGCTCTGCACTTTCCCTCCTCACCTCATACCTGAAAGACCGTACCTACAGGGTGACTTGGAGAGGGTTCTGAGTCCGACCCTTGTCAATTAACTACGGGGGTCCCTCAGGCTCTGTTCTTGGTCCCCTCCTCTTCTCCTTGTACACAAACTCGCTCGGATCAGTCATTAGCCTGCATGGTTTTTCTTACCACTGCTACGCTGACGACACCCAATTAATTCTGTCCTTTCCCCGCTCAGAGACCCAGGTCGTCGCACGCATCTCTGCTTGTCTAGCTGACATCTCTCAGTGGATGTCTGCTCACCACCTCAAACTCAACCTTGACAAGACTGAGCTGCTCTTCCTCCCGGGAAAAGATTGTCCCACTCTTGACCTGACAATCAACATCGGCACCTCAGTTGTTTCCCCGACTCAGACTGCAAGGAATCTGGGTGTGACCCTAGATAACAACCTGTCCTTCACTGCAAACATCGCTGCTACAACCCGCTGCTGCAGATACACGCTTTACAACATCAGGAAGATACGTCCCCAGCTGACTCAGAAAGCGACTCAGGTTCTGGTCCAGGCTCTCGTCATCTCACGCCTAGACTACTGCAACTCCCTCCTGGCTGGTCTACCTGCATGTGCCATCCGACCTCTGCAGCTCATCCAGAATGCAGCGGCTCGTCTGGTTTTCAACCTTCCTAAATTCTCCCACACCACTCCGCTCCTCCGCTCCCTTCACTGGCTTCCGGTAACTGCTAGAATCCACTTCAAGACACTGGTACTTGCTTACCGTGCTGCGAATGGATCTGGCCCTTCCTACATCCAGGACATGGTTAAACCGTACACCCCAGCGCGTGCACTACGCTCTGCATCAGCCAAACGACTCGTTGCGCCCTCGCTGCGAGGGGGACCCAAGTTCCCATCGGCGAAAACACGTGGGTTTGCTATCCTGGCTCCAAGATGGTGGAATGAGCTCCCCATTGACATCAGGACGGCAGATAGCTTGCACATCTTCCGGCGCAAACTGAAAACTCATCTCTTTCGACTCCACTTCGAGCGTTAGAACGATTAACGAAGCACTTTTATACCAATAAAGGACTGGATTACCTAAAGCCAGTTGAGTAGCACTTGAAATGTTTGGCTCTATGAAACCTGATATACTTATATGATTCTGTTTTCTTCAAGGTTGTGTCTTCCTGGTCGAATGTACTTATTGTAAGTCGCTTTGGACAAAAGCGTCAGCTAAATGCAATGTAATGTAATGTAATGTAGAGGTGAGTCAGAAAAAGAAGAGCGAATATCATCAACCTTTTTTTCAAAGTGGGTAACAAAGTCGCTTGACAGAAGTGAGGAGGGGGGAGGAGCTTTTGGAGGGTCCAAGAGGGTGGAGAAGATGGAAAATATTTTTTTAGGATTGGAATAGGAAGATTGGATCTATCTTGAAAGAAAGTGCTTTTTGCCTGAGAGATCGAAGCAGAGAAAGAGGAGAGGAGAGCTTGATAGGTTAGGAGGTCGTCACGGTGTTTGGATTTCCACCATTTCCGCTCAGCTGCCCTAAGGACGGTTCTATTAGCACGCAGTGCATCATTTAGCCAGGGAGCAGGAGGGGACTGACGAGCCTGCCGAGATGTGAGAGGACAGAGAGAGTCCAGAGAGGATGAGAGAGTAGAGAGGAGAGTTTCTGCAGCAGAGTTTGGAGGCAGGAGTTGGAACGAGTCAGAGGAAGGGAGGGCTGAGAGCACCGACGAGGCAAAGGTAGAGGGGGAGAGGGAGCGAAGGTTACGGCAGACAAGTGTAGGATGGGAAGAGATTAGTTTGTTATGTTTGGAAAGGGATAGAGAGAATGAAATGAAGAAGTGATCGGATGTGTGGAGCGGGTTTACAGAGAAGTTAGAAGTAGCGCAGTTCCTTGAGAATATGAGATCAAGGACATTGCCAGCTTTATGAGTCGGTGGGGATGGAGACAGTGAGAAAGCAAAGGCGGTTAACAGAGATGTTAGTTCGTCTATCTTTCCCCGTCTGGAGGTTGAAGTCTCCGAGAAGTACAGTGGGAGGGCCAAGTTTCAGGGATGAGTGAGAGGAGATTATCTAATTCCTCCAAGAAGTCCCCCAAGGCGCCTGGTGGACGGTAGAGAACAACAATGGTTAACTGTATAGGATGGGTTACTGTGACGGCATGGAACTCAAAGGTGGAAGAAGTGAAGTTAGGTAGCTTGAAGAGGGAAAAGCTCCATTGGGAGAGAGGCAGGAGACCAGTGCCACCTCCTCTGCCAGAGGGTCTGGGTGTATGGGAGAAGGAATATGCAGTGGAGAGAGCTGCTGGGTGGATGTGTTGGATGGAGTAATCCAGGTCTCAGTGAGAGCAAGGAAATCCAGAGACTGCAGGGAGGCGTAGCCAGAGATGAAGTCAGCCTTAGGAACAGCTGACTGGCAGTTCCACAGGCCACCTGAAACTAGATGTTGGATCTCAGTGGAGCACGTGGGATAGCCGAGAGCAGGCCGGTTATATCGATTACGAGATACACGGGGCCAGTGATAATTGCGAGAAGACACATGAACAGAATGGAGAAAATACACATGATTATAGCATGAGGGGCTAACAACAAAATAAAATGAAACAAAATAGAAAATAAAAACACCAGCGATACTTAGATCAATCAAAGTAGGATTTTGCCTCCTTCTTTGCCTCCCTCGTGACTCCTGTAGGATTCCAATGTCTTGCTCAGTCTTACTCCCGTAGGACTCCAATGTCTTTGTCAGTCTTACTCCTGTAGGACTCCAATGTCTTTGTCAGTCTTCGGCTGTCCTGACGCTATGAAGCTGACGCTCCAGGAAAGTGATACCTTAAAATGGACGCCTGATTGCTCAGTTCTCACAGCTGTAGGGGCACGCCCCTCTAATTAGTTAACTATCTACAGCTGATGGGCGACAATAGACTGGCCCTTGCCTTATATTATAATATGCAGGCTTGAGTGCTGAGGACCTGTGAAGCAGGTTTCGCCTGAGCAGATCTGAGATTTTAAATCTCTCAAAAGCGACTTTAGCCGTTTAAGGTACAATAACAATTATACAGAGTCGAATAAATGAAACCGAGAAGTCTTAATTAAACAAGAATATAACTTACAGTGGTTGCTGCGTCAATAGGTAATGTCGTCACCGGGTCCAGATGCACACAGTTACAGTCCAATAGGAACAGTTACTGTCGAATAGGAAACAGTTACAGTCCAATAGGAAACAGTTACAGTCCAATAGGAACAGTTACTTTCCAATAGGAACAGTGACAGTCCAATAGGAACAGTGACAGTCCAATAGGAACAGTGACAGTCCAATAGTAACAGTGACAGTCCAATAGGAACAGTTACAGTCCAATAGGAACAGTTATTGTCCAATAGGAACAGTTAGTCCAATAGGAACAGTGACAGTCCAATAGGAACAGTGACAGTCCAATAGGA